CTCTCAGAGAAAATCCGGAAGAGGTTCGGAGGCTTTGAGACATTTCTCGTCGTAACCGAATTTTCCCCTTCTCTCGTCGTCCGTCCGGCATTACCAGTTTCTGATCCGTTTCACATTTCCGCCTGTCGGCCTTTTCTCCTGCAATATCTGTAGGCTCAGATCGAACAAGGAAGGTGAATTCCGCAGGAGAAAGGGGGAACGCAGAGGAGGCCTTCTCGTCGTCGCCGAAACGCCGTAGCTAATCCGGATCTGTAACCGCCGATCGAATTGACCGCTCATTTCCCTCCGTTCGGCCGACGTATCTGAGAATCTAGGTACTGTAATCTGATGTCTGCGCAATGGGTGGAATGTGAATGGAAAAGGGGGATTCTCTCGTTCCATAATTCTGATTGATGAGCAGCTGATCTACTTTTGCTCTTAAATTTTAATGGCGTTTCGTTATGTTGGATCGTGTGGCCAGTGTCATTATTATGTTCTTGCGATAAGCCTTGTTTTAGTCATGGTAATCATGAGTTGAGGGAGGCAAAACCAGATTTGGGGTTTTTGACGCTCAGATTAGATTGAAGAAATGAGTGTTATTCAGAACTTTTGTTGAAAAGTAGATTTATGGTTGCTGGCATAAGAAGCTTTTTCTTTATTTGTTTTGACATTATTGGCTTTCTGGTCTTGTTTTGAGAAAGGAGGCAGCGATCATGGCATCCAGCGATAGCTTCACTGACAAGAATGCCGTGTTCAAGAAACTCAAAGCGAAACCTGAGAACAAAGTACGTTTCCTCATGCGGTTTGCTTGTTGGTTCTTTGTTGTTTGATTTTGGATCGGTAATGCCGCTGTCACCTGCCTGCCAGCTTTTCAATATTGGCAGATGATTCCTTTTCCCCGTTTTTTCTTCTTAAGATGATTCCTTCTTGCAGATGTGCTTTGATTGTAATGCGAAGAATCCTACATGGGCATCTGTGACGTATGGAATCTTCCTCTGCATTGATTGTTCTGCAGTTCATCGTAGCCTTGGGGTGCATCTGAGTTTTGTCAGGTAATGGACGTCCTGTTCCTTTTCCCTTATGGATTATGTCATCTAAGTATTAGTTGGTTGGGGCGCAATTTTGGAGAAGAATATGTTGATTTAGGTCAGTTTTAGGAACTGAAATGAAACCCGTGGTTAATGTTGCCTTTATATTTGTGCTGGCTCAACGAATGTCGTTCTAGGCATGCTCCAGTTTGTCCTTGGAGTTCATACATTGGCCAATGTTGCTGTCATTTATCAAGTATGTTCTCTCATAAACTTGTTCATGATATTTGTCTGTAAATTCTCCCACGTAGAATTTCTGACACACCAAGATTGGGACATTTCATCAAAGGACATTCTTGTGGTGTTTGTTCCCTTTCTGTATCCCATTGATCTTCAGAAGTAGCTCTTGCTAGATCTGTAGAAGTTGGTTGGCCAGATTTAATAGTGTATCTGACATACTTCACATCAAAAGAAGTTGCAGTTGTAACTCTTTATTTTGTTTACTTTATTTGGTAGGTCTACAACATTAGACTCGTGGTCTCCAGAGCAATTGAAAGTGATGGCCTTTGGTGGAAACAATCGGGCACAAGCATTCTTTAAGCAACATGGCTGGTCTGATGCTGGCGAGGCCAAGTATACATCAAGAGCTGCAGAGTTATATAGGCAAATTTTGTCAAAGGAGGTTGCAAAAAGTATGGCAGAAGATGCAGGCCTGCCATCCTCACCTGTTGCTTCTCAGTCAGCTCAAGGCAATAATGGATTGTCGGATGTTCCTAGAATTGAATCTTCTGACAGAACTTCAATGGAAAAGCAGCAAATGCCTGTGGTAACTCCATCTTCAGCCCCTCCTTCAAAAGTCCCTGCAGTTGTTATCACTTCTACTGTTAAGAAGCCTCTTGGGGCAAGGAAAACTGGGAAGTCTGGGGGTCTAGGTGCTAGAAAACTCACGGCAAAGGTGAATATCTTCTCTTTTTTGTCGTCCTTTTACCCGTATGGTTTAGTTTATAAATTTGTGTAATGGGGTGATAAATAATCCAATTCATTTCTTATTTAAGTATTACTTATTAACTAGGTCTTTTCAATAGTACTTAGATCGTTTTCTGAATGCAGTCCAGTGAAAGTTTGTACGATCAGAAGCCTGAAGAAGTACCTGTTCCTGTTCGATCTTCTTCTAATAACAACCTGAAAGCTGGGGGGTCTGCTTTTAATTCACGTTTCGAGTATGCAGACGATGTCCGGCCTGTGGATATGCTTTCAGGATCAAAGGGGGTTAGCCATGTATCCGCACCAAAGTCATCAAGTTTCTTTGAAGACTTTGAAATGGATAATGGTTTCTCGAGAAAAGGAAACTCAAATCCTCCAAGAGTGCAAGTAAGTAGTGGTTGCGTATCATCTCTCGATACATCCTGTGGATTGCTAACTTGTTTGCAGAACTGTTACCTTATTAGTGCAACCTAAAAGTTGGGATTCTGATTATTAGTTTGGCTCTAATTGGACAGTAAAGGGTATTGCATTCAATAGATACGGGTTGATCTTTGAGACTGTTTGTCTTGCTGTTACCATATTCGTGTGGAGGATCGAAGAATGTTGTTTTAGGCCTCAGTTGTATTTTTAGACGCAGTCTTCGACTCTTCGTTGGAGTATTAGCATGACCATATAGCGATACCAGTTTTTATCAATAGAATTGACCTTTTTGATTACCTGCCTAGGAATCTGATATTTCTGCTTGTTGCGGGCTCTTGATGAAATCGTAGTGATGCAGAATCTTCTCAATATGTCATGTCATCGAACATTTACTAGGGAATCACTAAAATTACAAACACAACTCGTTTGCTCTCACACTTTAAAATATTGTCACCCAGAGTTACAGCTAAAACAAACCCACTTGCCTGTTTCAATGATCTGACTCGAACTTCTGGCTAAGGAAGATGGATGCTTAATCTAATATGGATATATGATATTTGTTTTGTCGTCAATGGTTACGGTGGTTCTTCAGGTGTCCATGCATTTCAAGAAATAGGCTTCCATTAATACTGTCAGATGTTTCACCCATTACATGATTCAATGACTGAACTATCTGCCGTGACCCCCTGCTTTGCATATAATCATATTTTGCTGGTATCAGGTCCAAGAGACTGATGAAGCAAGGAAGAAATTTTCAAATGCCAAGTCAATTTCATCGGCCCAATATTTCGGCAATCGAAGCAAGTCAACTGATCTTGATGCTCAAACTTCTTTGCAGAAATTCTCGGTATGTCTGGTTGGTTTAGCTAACTGTATATCCTGAATATAATCTGTAGGAGAAGTATATATAAACTCGAGTTATGTTTAAAGTCTCTTTCACCACTTGGTAAGAAATTCTATTTCCTTTCAATGAGGGAGGAGGAGTTTCTATTAATATTGAAGTCAAAGTAAAGTAGTAAACCAAACAACTGAAAACCTGGATTAGTCTAGCTGCATGCGTATAATTTTGATTCACGAATGAGTTCAGAGCTTGAGACCTATTTGTCCAAGTAGTCTGGTTCCACCGCAGATGTACCCTAGTCTCATGCTTGGTACCATGGATCAACCATGTATAAGAATGTATTTGTTTGAGCCTAATTTTCCTTAAGTGTACTGAAAATGGTGCTGAACTTCATCTCCAGGGTTCAGCAGCCATCTCGAGTGCAGAGCTTTTTGGCCACGATGATGACAACTCAACCATCGATATTGCTGCCGGTGAGCTGATCAACCGGCTGTCTTTCCAGGTAACGGTCTTCAGAAATGATTTGGTCTTGCTGTTGTTAGGCTTCAGTTCTTCATATTGATGAATACTTACCATTCTCGTCGTAATGAACTTTTGTTTTAGGCACAACAAGATATCTCCAACCTCAAGAGCATTGCAGGAGAGACCAGCAAGAAGCTAAGTTCCTTAGCATCTTCATTGATGACCGATCTTCAAGACCGAATCCTGTGATTCCGAGTATGAGCATTTGGAAGAACACGAAATGGGAACTTGATGCCATTTGGTAAGTGAAAAATTAATTCAATTTGATGATTCTTTCCAGAGGCAAAATTGAAAAAGAAGAGAGTGAGAAGAGGGGGCTTCTCCTTTGAAAATGATGAGGGTTTCTTTACACAGGCTGGAGCACAGATGGTGAGAGAGGATATTGTAAAGTGTTTTTAAACTTACCCTTTCGGTAAGTTTTCATATGTACTAAAAAAGATGATGTAGGAATTGAAACCCTATAAACCCAATTTGTTTGTTGATAATCAGCAATTTGTTGACTACCATAACTATTCCTGTTAAGACGTCTTGCTTCTTGTGATGTTAGGCAAGCTTTTTGTTCCGTTTTCGAACCTAGGCTTTCTCATTTTGGTCGTTCTGGTTCCTAGCTCACAAATGCAAGTCTTGCTTCTAGGCTCTAGTGAATAGTGATGCTATTGCTAGGTAAGTTCTTTTTTTTGGTATTTACCCCCTGAACTTTCTCAATTTTGCCATTCCGGACCAGTAGTTCAATATTTGGTTGTTCTAGTTTCTAGATCACAGATGTTTTATATATGTATCATTCTAATGCATCGGATATTTAGGTAGCTTAAAATAAGCAGTATACCATGTTATACTAATGATCAAACTTAGTGGTCATGTATCAAAATGACCAACACAAGATAGTTCAACGATTAAGTCGGCATTGCTTTTCCAATAAATCGTGTCTCAAATCATGTAAGTTTAGTCTGAAGTTCACTAATAGTGGATTAGGGCACCCTTTTGTCAAAGCAATTTGTATCAATATGAGCATCAACTTGTTGATAGTGCGCACAGTAAAAAGTATTTACAACGTATATAAATCTCAATCATTGTAAAAATTGACATGTGTTAGCATAGTGTATGAATGACGATAAGTTGATAAAATGATAAAAAGATATTGTTGATGGATGTAAAAGCAAAACATACGTTTAATCATGGCATGGAGGTTATACGGAGCCGTTTTGGTTTCCTAATTCCCCTTCTGTCTCTTTCCTACCGTTTTGATCTTCGAATATTATTATTATCAAAATAAATAACAAATCATACCAACAAGAAGCGGAAAAGAAAAGAAAATAGGTCCGCGTCCAGGAAACTCTGGGAAGATTTTCGGGCAAAGCGCAGAAATCGCGAGCTAAGAACGCGCGTCGGCAGATCGTCTCCCACCGCCGTCCTCCGCTCCTCTCGCAGGCGATAGGTTTCGTCGCCGGTGGTTATCTCTCAGAGCCTTTTTTGTTGTTCTGCTACTTCTTCGAATCTCCGTCGCCTCAGATTGCGCGGAATCGCTGAGATCGTGCGGGAGAGAGGAAGGCGAACGCACGTAGATCGGAGGAGAGGTCGTATCTTTTCCAGACGATCACCACCGCTCCGCCGGATCTGTCTCCGTTGATCCGTTAGTGGTCATTCTCAGCATTTGTGAGGACATCGCTGAAAACCCTAGGTACTATGTTCTGTTCACGATCTTCAATCAGCATAGATGGAACTTGAGTTGGTTGGATGTGGAATTGTTGTTTAGTTTAAAGGGAGCTGGGTTTTTTTCCCTTTCTTATTTGTTAATTTTGGTTGACGAGGCGATGAGAGCTGCTTTGTGTTCCTTCATTTTTCATGGGCGTTTAGCGTATTGGAATTGGTGTGCATGAAGGCTTTGTTTCTGTTCTGCTTCGTCTTGTTCTAGTTTGATGATAATGATGGATTCAGAGGTAGATGCATCCTCTCTCTGATGCGCATTGATATGCTAAACTCTTCATCGGTTATAGTTCGAGCTCTTTGTTAGTCTTGAGATGCGCATTGCTAGATAGCAGTTTGGAACTGCTAATTTGGTATGATATTGTCTCGTATTATGTGAACTAACAGTGTCTGGTGTTATACGTATCTGAAGTTTGGGAAACCAAGAGTTCTCCACTCACATCTTTGGAGCCCCACTACTTCTCTTTTCTCTAACCTTAATCTCTTGCTTTGTTTGGTGAAAGAAGCAAGCAATCATGGCATCTATCGATACTTTCACTGACAAAGACGCTGTGTTTAGGAAACTCAGAGGAAAAGCTGAGAACAAAGTATGTTTTCTTATGCTGATAACTATGATTTCTTCATTATGGCTTTCGTTTCAGTTATGTTGGATTGTATCCTACGCTGGATTTGGGAATTAAAGTCAATTACCTTTTCTACAGGTGTGCTTTGATTGTAATGCAAAGAATCCTACGTGGGCATCTGTAACCTTTGGGGTCTTTCTCTGCATCGATTGTTCTGCTATTCATCGTAGCCTTGGTGTGCATCTGACGTTTGTCAGGTAATCAAATGGGTCACTGCCCACCCATTTTCCTTTGTTTTTATGGTTATTTCATTTAAGGACTGGATGATGGGAACTTAAAAGTAGTTGGTGGCGATAAATTTTGTCTTCGTTATAGGTTTGATACTGAGTACTCTTTAACTCAAGGGTGAATGGTTGCTGTATGAGTTTGAAAGCTGGAGCCATTTTGTTTATTTGATCTCCATCGTTGTCTCTTGTTTTGTTAACAAGTCTGTACGGTCATCTTTAATCTTAGTTCTGCATTTTTAGATTCACTTAAGCCGATTTATCACCCTATTTGTTTGGTTTGGCAGGTCCACCACTTTAGACTCATGGACGCCTGAGCAGTTAAGAATGATGACTTTCGGTGGAAATAATCGCGCACAAGTGTTCTTTAAGCAGCATGGCTGGACTGACGGGGGAAAAATCGAGGGCAAGTATACATCTAGAGCTGCTGATTTGTATAGACAAGTTCTCTCGAAGGAGGTGGCAAAAAGTATGGCAGAAGATATAACCCTGCCGTCACCACCAGTTTCTTCTCAGTCAGCTGAAGGCACGAATGGGGTTGTTGATGTGACTGGAACTGACTCCTCTAAAGAAACATCATTAGAAAAGCAAGAAACACCTGTGGCAGCTGTTTCGTCAGCACCCCCTTCAAAAGTTCATTCAGTGGTTACCACTTCTACAGTCAAGAAGCCTCTTGGAGCGAGGAAAACTGGGAAGACTGGGGGTCTTGGCGCCAAAAAGCTCGCTACAAAGGTTGATATACCTTTTGAATCTATTCCATTATATTAACTTGTCAATATGTTTGAAAATAATACTCAAACCTTTTGATGTGAAGCCAAATGAAAGTCTCTATGACCAGAAGCCTGAAGAATTACCACTTCCTGTTCCATTGTCTTCGACTGGCAACCCAAAAAGTGGGGCATCTCTTGCATCCCGTTTTGAGTATGTAGACAATGTCCAGCCCGTGGATGTGGTTCCTGGTGGACAACGAGTGATTAGCCATGTTTCTGCACCAAAGTCATCAAACTTCTTTGCAGATTTTGGAATGGATAGTGGTTACCAGAAAAAAGGGAACTCAAGTTCCTCTAGAGTGCAAGTAAGTGATGGTAACATATATTCAATTAATTACGGATGAAATGGTGAAAGTAGGTTGGTGTTTTACTCTTTTCTTTGATTGCCTATTGTTCAAGACATCTCTCCCCATTTAAAATTAGAGCCCTTAAAGTAAAACCGTCTTTGGTTTGTTTTTTTAATGTAAATCTGGTGAAATTCGGAAAAGCTGGTTACTGACCTGAAATCGGAATCAAGCATTTGGATAAGGCACAGTGTGATTGAACGTGCACATTGAATCTACTGATATTTCCCCACTCTTTTGTTTTTCCGAAGTATGTGTAACTTGCTGTCCCTTTTTGCTATTTTGCCAGTGACTGTTGTCATTATTTTCACAATTCAGTGCATATGGCGAAAGACTGTCATGCCTTGTAGAATTAGTCTTTCACTTAATCTCATCTTGTGTGACCTTTACATGGTTTTGAAGACTGTCATGGCGTCCTTTTCTGCTTATAATTGAATTCTTCTTTCAGATCGAGGAGACGGATGAAGCTAGGAAAAAGTTCTCAAATGCCAAGTCGATTTCATCGGCTCAATTTTTTGGCGATAAGAATAAATCAGCGGATGTTGGTGCCCAAGCTTCTTTGGAGAAATTCTCGGTATGCCCGATTCCATGGTTGCTAAATCTAACATGAGAAATCACCAACTGTTACCTTCCAAGTTTTTGTTTTCAAGTGGATACACATGGAAGTTCCCCGCTACGCTAGTACTAAACAAATCCAATCATTGTTGCATTCCAGGGTTCTTCGTCCATCTCGAGTGCGGATCTTTTTGGTCACAGCAACGATAATGCAAACATCGATCTCGCTGCAAGTGACATGATCAATCGGCTGTCCTTCCAGGTACATGGTTCTTAGAAACCCCCCGAAATCATTCCTTCACAAATGAAAAGTTGCTGTGGTTCAAAGTGTTTTTCCCTCTTTGAACTGAAATGAGTTCTGTGTTTCTTATCATATTTTTCAGACGCAACAAGATATTGCCTCGTTGAAGAACATGGCCGGAGAGACAACGAAGAAGCTCAGTTCCTTAGCATCTTCATTGATGACAGACCTTCAAGACCGAATCCTTTGATCTGAAACGCATTTCAAACATCTGGAAAACCATAGGAGAGCTTCCTTGCTGCCATTTGGTACGTGGTAGGGATCCAAATAGAAAGAAACCAAAAATAGTTGAGTTGAGAACGCTTGAATTTCCCCAGAGGCTGGAGTTTTTATTATTTTTGAACACCATTGGTCGGGAGATTTGTATAGTGGTAAGCTGTCTTTTACTGTCTGTTGTGTGTTGTGGGCGAAATCCCTGATGTTTGTGATGTACCCATGTATTAGAAAGCATTTCAGAACGGTTAGTGTTGTTTTTAGTCCATCCAGCTCTTTGTACTACCATCTGTTAAAAAATACTTAGTATGTCATTAGCCTAACATAATTATGAAGTAAAAACAAGGTTTCACTCTTAGCCTAACATAATACTGTCATTATTTTGGATTTTTGGTCCTGCATATCCTTTAGGGTTTTAGGGGTGAGTATGAAACAAAATGGGCCAATTGTAGGGTCCTTATGTAGAGAAATCCGTTTTCAACTAATCATTAGGGTATCTTTACCCAACATTGGAACCAAAATACATCTAGGGATGGCAATTTACCCACCCAGGGTAATTTTGCCCAAACTCAAGTAGACCCATTTATTATGGGTAGGGTTTGGGTGATGTGTGTATGGGTTTGGGGTTTGTATATGAGTTTGGGTTAGATATGGATATTATCTAAATGGGTATGGGTTGGATATGGATATCCATTTACTTGAGGGTGTTTTAACTACACATGAAAAAATTGGACTTATTTGTAAAACTTGAAAAATTTAGGTACCAAAATGTAAGACCGAAAAATTTTAGGTACCAAAACGTAATTTTTCATCGATATTTTGAGGACTTATATGCAAAAAAATTAAATTTAGGTACTAAATATGCATATTTATTAAGTTTAGGTACCAAACTGTAATTTGTATTTGGGCATGGGTACAAACCCAAATTTATTTGTTATAAACCCAACCCAACCCAAAATAAATGAGTATGGGTACAAACCCATCAAACTTTACTCATATCCATATATTTGGATTTTATACCCAACCCAATTGGGTTGGATAGTAAAATACCCATGGGTATGGGCAAAATTGCCATCCCTAAATACATCGTTACTGATCCCTAGCTAGTTAAGCAGTGCAAGATGAGATCTAGCTAGCTAGGGCATAAAGTATATATAGTACAATAACATATGAGTTCATCTTGATCTGGTGTGGCTATGACGGGTATTCTGGTTTTCTAGTTAACGGTTTAATCAATAATTTGGCGGGAACATATTCAGACGGCTCGATATAGTGATAATCGGTAGACCAACTACCGACCAATTACCATCCCTAGGTGTGGCAGCTGGTTTCCTAGCTTAATTAGTGCCGTTTCGGGAGTGTAGCAAGGTGACCCTTTTCCTGGAGAGACTTGACAGTTTCATACAAGCATTGCTTCACCGGTGTGAACTCCAGCCCTAGCTCCTTCACCTTCTGGCAGTTGAACTTGTGTGGTTTAGCTATTGGCTTCTTCTCATCCGAGCATCTGCATTATCATATAATTAGTTCAAAATAATAATACATCTCACATTTCTCATTCACCCAAATGCAAAAAAAAAAAATTGAAGAGAGCAGCAGTACTGACTTGGTGGGCAGAGGATACTCCGGGAAGAGCTCGCCGAGGATCTCCACCACCTCGCCGCGGTGGATGACGCTGTCGACGCAGAGGTACCGGCCGGAGGCGGGCTGGGCCTCGAACACGAGGACGTGGGCCTGGGCCACGTCCCTGACGTGGACGTAGCCTTGGACCGCGTTGGCGTAGGTGTTGACCCAACCGGCCAGGTATTTGAGGATGTGGACGCTGCTCGCGTTGACGCTGGATTGCAGCAGCGGGCCCAGCACCACCACTGGGTTCACCACCACCAGATCCACGCCCAGCTCCTTCGCCAGCTTCCACGCCGTCTGCTCAGCCACCGTCTTCCCATAGCAGTACCAATTCTACAAAGGAAACAATTTTACAAAGTATATAGGACTTGTTTGTAAAGTCCTGAAAGTTCAAATGCAAGGAAAAAAAGTATAAAGGTACAAAAAGTAATTTATATGACAAAAAATTAAAGTTTGGATACTAAATTGTAACAAAATAAATTCCGTACTAAAAATTAATTTCCGAACTTAAAAAAAAATCATAAAATTTAAAATACGGAAACAAATTCAAATGAATATCCAAATAAATAAATTTAAATTACATGTATTTAAAATACAAGCTAGCACTGTAAATTCATAATTCTAAACACATGAACGTTTTAAATGTACATAGTAATCGTTCATTAAATGTTAGAAAAAGAAAAAAAAAATTCATATATAGTAACATTCTCTTTAGTGACAATATATGTAGATGTAGACAATTCAACGAGAGAGGAAAAAAAATGTAGACTGAAATTAATGAATAATAATACCTTGGTGTCCTTGCAATATTCAAGATCACTCCAATACGATTCGTCCATCACCACGTCGTGGCTCCGGTTGGGATCCATATACACGGCGCCCACCGACGACGTGAACACAACCCGCCGGACTTTGGCCTCCGACGCCGCCATTATCACATTCTTGGTCCCGTCCACCGCCGGCCTCAACATTTGTTCCTTTAAATTATCAAACAAACAATGAATTAAGTCATTACTCAATAACGTATCCATGCACTCTAATTCTCTACCATAAAAAAAAAACACTTGAGTGTGCATAAGGGTTAATGAAATACACTTAAATTACTTAAGTTTTAACATATTATTCCAAAACTTTCGCGTTTGTGTCAATAATAGCCAAATTCGGAGAAATACCACTTGCTTATAGCCACTTTTGTCCAATACTTACTGGGTCATCGGTAATTGGACAAGCGGCGTGGAAGACGCCGTGGCAGCCGGCTATGGCAGCTCGAAGGCTGTGGAAATCCAGAAGATCGGCCTCCCAAAGTGTCAGCCGCTCCTTTGCGCCTTCTAGCTCCCTCAAGTGATCGTTTTTCGGATCCTCTGCAATTAATTAATTAATATAAACTAATTATTAAGATGATAGTAGTTTAACTATATATCGTATTTCGTATATGGTTTCATTGATATAAAAAAAGCAGGAAAGACAATAACCTGGGTTCCTGACGGTTCCTCGGACGGTGTAGCCCCGAGCAAGGAGAAGCTTAACGATCCAGGAGGCGATGAACCCGCCGGCGCCGGTGACACAAACGGTCTGCCCATGGCCGCCGGCGGCCGGTGACGATGAGATGTCAGCTGCTCCAGGCATTTTCCACGGGGAGCCGGGGATTGGGAAAAAATAAAAAAACAAAGGCTTTGTAAGAAAAATGTGAGTATAAGAAGGGAAGGGTTGATGGTATTAGGTAATGGAGAGGGAGTTTGGGTATTTATAAGGAGATAACCTCTTTTACCCTTCTTTTATGGTTGAGAGTGGCTAAAGTTCCTTCTAATTTTTTACTTAAAGTTGTTCTAACTTAACAATTAAGATTATCTTTTTATCCTTTCAATTTTTATTGTTAGGAGATAACAAACACAATCGGTAATGTTTTAGATCTTATTTGAGATGTGCATGTATTGATGGGCTGAAGGTTCTTATTTTTCGATGCAGGTTTGACGAATTCATTAATTGCTTGATTGATTTTTTTTATATATATTGGAAGATTTGGAAGAGATGGTGCTCTACAGATTACAAGGCGGAGCTAGGTGGGCCTTCGAAGAGGCCCTGGCCCCCTCGAAAATTTTGACATCACGTACAAATTGGTATAAGAATTTGGAAAATTACGTATAAACTAAAGTATTTGAATACGTAAATATTGTGTGCAATATAGATTCATAATTTCCGCGTGTAGCCTGGCCAAAAAGTGATGCTAAACTAGCTCTGTGACCATAGTTTGATTCTCACTGAATGCATCCTATGTTTTTATTTACATTTAAATCTTAGTATTTTAATTTTATTTATATTATAAATCCTTCTGGGAGCCATCTTCCTCTATTATTTTTTACTTTTTAAAATTACTTAATTATTAAAAATAAATATTGTTCATCATTCTGAAAAATGATTGTTCATCGTACAATTTCTATTTTGTTCATTTTTCTTTATATAATTCGAGATTTATTTTGAGTGGTTTTCTTTATCTCGAATAATTAATGATCAATTACCTAAAAATATTTGTTGGTTGTGTGCAGGAGAGACTGTGAAATTTGCAATTGGGTGATTCTTTCATCATGAAACTGATGAAACTGATGGAGTTTAGGGACGTTGTTCGTTGTTGTCTCTCACATTCTCTTATTAACGTCTCGTTTTCTGGTGATGCGCATGTGATCATTCGGATGGTCAACGTGAAGGATTCGTCACAGGTTTCGCAGTATGCCATTTTTAGAGAAATTCTTGTGCTATCATCCTCGTACCACAGTGTGTTTCGTTTCATTTCGCGTCATGTAGGTATAACATGGCTGCTCATATCTTAGCAAAAAAAGACCCTCTTATCGGTGAATCGACCTCTAGTCGACCAACGTCCCTATCTTTCTCCGGGTTTTTTTATTAGCCCACAAATATCTCTTGTATTATATCCTATCTTGCTGTTCTTTTTAGACCCCTTTAAAAACCAAACAAACACAATTAAATAATATGAAAAAACGGTCTTTAACCATTAACCTAACTATCATTACGAGTAGAGGAAATTCAACAGAAACAATACAGAATAAGACGATAAAAAGGGAACATATATAGCATATTCAAAATCAATCCGGACATGGGAACACAACTTACACAAGATTGCGTTTGTGTTACAATTTTTGTTTTGTTTTAAGGATGACGGTTCACTAATTTCTCATTTAATTATGTCCGAGCAGTCTCCATATGTCTTACCGTACTAATCAAATGACGAAGTAAATTATAATTAATATTTATGAATTGGGCTGGTAAATCAACAATACAAATCAATATGAAAAAAAAAGCATCTAGATCTTTTTTGTAAAGGCCGTCTGAAACAAAGTGAAAATATAATAATATTTATATCCCTTGGGTTTATCTATAAATGCCGTTCTTGTTCAATTTGCTGGTCGTCATGGAAAATGACGTGAAATTAAAGTAGAGTTGCAACGACTATATATAACTCCATCGCCTATCTTCTTAATACTTATTAAAGTAATAAAGTGGTTACTGTTGCATTAGAGGTTGGTTAAATTGACAGGTAACTTTAATTTTTGTTGGTAACAGCTACCTCTAAATGAAACACGTGGCTGTTATAAAAAATTAACAAGGACTTGATTTTGTTTGATACGTGAAGATGATTACTAAACCCTTGGTCTTATTTGATTCTTGGGTAAATTGTAACTTCATTCAAAGCTCGAGAGAATGTGGTTGGTGTAGGCTATTCAAATATGAGTCTCGATTTATGTTAAGAAAAATAAAAAAAAAATGTAAAAGAATATCAGAGTTCGTATCGTAAAAGTTAGCATTAGTGCATTTTGTGCTAAAATCGTAGTTCATCCGTGGTTAAATCAAGCTTGACACGTTTTTCCAATCCGAGCCTCGATTTATGTTCAGATATACCAAAAGTTGTAAAACCAAACCGAAGGTCATTCTAGAAAAGTTAGCATTGGAGTATTTTGTGCTGAAATCGTAGTTTAACCGTGGTTAAATCAGGCATGACACGTTGCTCCAACTCGAGCCTCGACTTATGTTTACGAAAATCACCTACCGAATCAGATTATGTTAGGAGTTTTTCTATTGGACCGCCAATACAGTTCAATCGTAGTTCAAACGTGGCTAAATGAGGCTTAACACGATGCTCCAACCCGAGCCCCAATTTATGTTAAGATATACCAAAAGTTGGAAAACCATACCGAAGGTCATACCAGAAAGTTAGCATTGGAGTATTTTGTGCTAAAATCGTAGTTCAATCGTGGTTAAATCAAGCTTCATACATTGCTCCAATCCGAGCCTCGATTTATGTTTAGAAAAATCAAAAATTGTAAAACCATACCTAAGTTCGTACAAAAAAAAGTTAGCATTAGAGTATCTTGTGCTAAAATCATAGTTCAATCATGGTTAAAATAAGGCTTGACACATTGCTCCAACCAGAGCATCCATGCATATTCAGGAAAAAAAAACCAAAAATTGTAAAATCATACCGAAAGTCGAACCAGAAAAGTTAGCATTAGAGTATTCTGTGCTAAAATTATAGTTCAACTGTGATTAAATCATTTCATACAGCTAAAATCACCTATCGATTTGGATTACGCTTGGAGTTTTTCTATTGAACCTCTGCTAAAAACGATTACAAATCAAATACAGGTTAATGGAAATACTTCACGAATATGAAGTGGTGAGTGGGCAACGAGTTAATCTCCAGAAATCAACTGTTACATTTAGTGCTAATGTCTTAGACTTGGAAGCTACTCGCCTAGCTGGTTTACTTGGTGTGTTAGCAATTGGAGTTCATGATAGATATCTTGGACTTCCATCTCAGGTTCATAGATCTAAAATCCAAACTTTTCGGTATATTGAAGACTCTTTAGCAAAACGAATACGTCATTGGAAGTCAAAAAACATGTCTTTGGCTGCCAAAGAAGTAGTCATCAAAGCAGTTGGGACAGCAACTCCCATCTTTGCGATGTCCTGCTTTAGACTCACTTCTGATTTGTGTAGAAGGATGAACGGACAACTCTCCACTTTTTGGTGGGCAGGCCAAGACAAAGAAAAAGGCATACATTGATTATCATGGTCTGAATGTTGTTTCAGCAAATTTGAAGCAAGCCTGGAGACTTATCTGTGATCCAGAGAGTATTCTTGCCAGGATGTATAAGGCAAGATATCATTCCACCGATCATTTCCTCCTAGCCCGTCAGGGGGCCCGCCCCTCTTGAGCTTGGCAAGGTATCTTGCAGGGTAGAGATCTTCTGAATAAAGGTCTTCGTTGGCAAGTAGGATCAGGATCTAGAATAAACACCTTACTCGACCCTTGGCTACCATCAGACCCTCCATCTAGCCCTGTGTTGTTAATTGGTGCCTCTCTAGATCACCCAATGGTCTCATTTCTTCTGGACTCTAATGCTATGGAGTGGAATCTAGACTTGCTTAAAACCTTATTCCCCCCTGTCACGATTGATAAAATCTGATCCATCCCTCTCCCATCTTCCCTTCAAGAAGATAAATTGATTTGGCACTATGACAAGTCTGGTCACTATACAGTTAAATCGGGGTACCATCTTCTTTCGGATGGTTTAACTTCACCCAGGGTCTCCCTGCCAGAATTTTTGAACACCAAGTTCTGGAAATTCTTGTGGAATATTCCAATTCCTCCTAAACTCAAATTCTTTCTCTGGAGATTGGTGCGTGGATTTTTACCAGTTAAAGGAACCCTCCTTTATAAGAAAATTATTCCATCAAGTATATGTCCTGTTTGCTGCGAGGTAAATGAAGACTTCAGGCACTGCTTCTTCGACTGTCGAATCACTAGAGAACCGTGGACATTATCTGACCTTGACCATATACGAGATATGATGAGGGCAAGTTCTATGGATCTTGCATGGAGAAACCTCTTTATCATGCCCCATATCTCCAAGAATGATGTAGCTTTCATTGTCTTCTTATTTTGGAGAATATGGAAAGGCCGATGCAAGGCCACTTATGGACACGTTCTATATAGGTCACATGTTCTATACAAGCAACTATTAGCGCAGGTGGAGGAATGGAGAATGGCAGAGGCACAGAAGGTTCAGAGATCCGGAGAAGTCCGAAGGTCAATGCCCCACTCTTCCACAGGCCAAGGTCCTCATTCAAGGAGAACATATGTTTCCTTCCCTAGTGAAGGTATCCTAGTTCGTTTTGACGGGGCAACAAAAATCCCTCAAGGATGTGCAACTGGCTTCGTCGGCTTTTCAGGTGATGGAAATATCACATTTGCAGTTGGTAAATTCTATCAAGGCATCTCAGATGCCTATTTATCAGAATTACTTGCTATTCGGGATGCTATGAAATGGTGTCTCACCCACAACTTCTTGAGTGTTGTTTTTTGTGGGGATTCTCAATTGGTCATCAAGGATGCGACATCAAAGAAGGCTTCACATTCAAGAGCGGGAGCTATTTTAGAGGAAGTTCATTCTCTCCTTGCCTCCTTCCTATCTGTCTCGTGTCTTTTTGCTCCTCGGAGCTTCAACAGAGCTGGCCACCTCGTGGCAAAACGGGCTCTTTTATCGGGAGCCCGGTTGCATACAGACTACCGTTCTTTTTTAGTGTCTCTCTTGTAACTGTGTTGACTGGCCATGCCCTGGGGGCTTATCTTGGATAAAAAAAATACAGGTTAACAAACAATACATCTAATCCTATGAGAATCCGCAGCAAAGCGCGGGACATATTCTACCTAGTATATATAAGAATAAAAGTAAGTGCAACGATGAAATTTAAGCCAAGGCTGGCTGGATCAATGTA